GCCAGGAGGAGGGGGGATGGGGGCTCAGAGTTGGGGCTGGCCCCAGGCGCTTCTGGCTCAGCATTTGTCCAGCTCGTACTTCGGGTCATTAACGCTTAGTTGCCACAAGAGGAGCCTGGACTTGTTCTGTGGGCAGCGGGCAGCCCCCGAAGTGTCTGAAATAGGTAAGTTTTAGATTTGAGTTTGCGAAACGGTCTGGCTTGGAGGGAGAGGCAGCAGACGGGGGGCCAGTGGGGAACGCTGCGAGGCACACGGCAAGGTCAGAGCGGCGCTGCTCACAACGGCCGAGAAATGGACCGATCCCAGATGCCACCCATGGATGGACGCATAACCGGAACGTGCCGTGGCCACACAACGGGATGCTGTTCAGCCACGAAAAGGAGTGAAGGGCTGACACATGCTACACCGTGGATGAACCTTGAGAACGTTAAGCTAAGGGAAAGAAGCCAGACACAGAAGGCCATACGTGAATCCATGGATAGGACGTGTCCAGAACAGACAAACCGCACAAACAGAAAGATTAGTGGCGGTGTAAGGGCTGGGGGAAGAGGGACTGGGGAGTGACAGCTAGTGGTGTGGGCTTCCATTTGGGGTGATAGAAACGTTCTGGAACTAGACAGCCACGATGACTGCACAACCTGTGAATATGCGAAACACCGCCGAACTGTCCGTTTAAAAATGGTTAAAATGTTTCATTTTATGAGGATTTTATCTTAATGAAAAAAAGTCACTCAAAAAAGTATAAGGCAAGTATACAACATACACGTATCAGAAGATTGAATATTGTTAAGATGTCAACTTTTCTCAAACCGATCTATAGATTTAACACAATCTCAGTCATAATCCTAGAGGGATTTTTTTTGGGGGGTTGAAATCAGCGAGCTGATTCTAAAATGCACATGGAAATGCTAAAGACCTACAACAACCAAAACAATTTCGGAAAAGCACAAAGGACTTCAAGACCCATACAAATATTGACATGTGATTTGAGACAGAGCTGTGGAGTTAGATGATCTTAAAGTTATTTGTCTACATTTTTGCAAATTTCTCTAATGTCTGGCTTGAGTGAGGACAGCTGCATTCACTAGCTGCTCCTGCAGTCAGTCCTTTGGGACGTCTTGCTATGGTTGACGCGTATGAAGGACATCCAGCCTTCCCGGGACATCTCATAACTGGAAAAGAGAGGAGTATTTTAGTAGGTTTTCAAATAATCATAGGTATTCTTCTTTGATAGCACATCCAATACGGCAACTAGTTTTCTTGAAGATTACAACGTGAAAGCTAAATCTATATGGATGAATTTTTCATCATCAGTTATGTTGAAATCCATGGTGTCATGCATTTTTT